ACACACACACATGCACGCGCCCAGGCACACACCTATAGACACACATCCATCAAGACACCCACACACCCAGATGCACATATCCAGGCACACGCAGACACACACACACATGCCCAGCCACACACACCCACCCAGACATACACCCAGATACATACACATAGACACACACACCCATCCAGACACAACCACTTGACACACACATACACACCAAGCCACACACACTCACCCACACAGATACACACTTTTCACACACTTTTCCTCTCTCTCTCCCACCCACACACAACCTCACCTCTCCATTTTTCTCCAAATTGGCTAGGTTTAAACGTGTGAGCTACAGCAGAAAGGGAGTCTCTTACTCCAAAATAGTTATCTGTGGAAGAGTTATAGCCGTATAATGCTATACTTACACCACTAAATACAGTATTTCCATGTAGGTAAGCGCCTAGAGCAGTGGTTCTCAGCCAGGATGCCACAGCAACCTGGGGTGCCCCAAGATCCTTTAAAGGGTGCCACGGGGTGCCACACCGTGTCAGCACTGTTAGGTGTGCAAATATGATTCAGTAGATAAACCCAGACATTTCAAATAGCAGTCCAGAGTGCTAGAAACATTGTGCGCTGTTGTGGTCTTTCAGAGTGCTTTGCAACAATTGCTTTATTAGCTTTCTCTAGTAAAAAAAACAAGTGAAATAAGAGCTGGCATTTTCTGTGGGGTGCTTTGAATGTAACAAGAGGTGCCTCGAGTCTAAGGACGGGTGCCTTAAGGGTAACAAGGTTAAGAACGACTGGCCTACACCCATGCCCAGCTAAGCCCTTTCTAAACATGGTTGTCCTTGATATACTCAGAGCTGGCCTTAGGGGTGGGCAACTTGGGCACTGTCCAGAGCACTGTGGTCAGGGCAGTGCCACACACACACACGCACGCACGCACACAAACATGTGAGCAGCCTGCACTCAACAGCTGTGCTCTCCCCCTGCCTCACTCTGCTGGTCCCAGCCCCTGGCAGGAGGAGCGGTGCCTAGCCCAGCCTGCCCCCCACCTCCAGCTGCCAAGGCAGTGCAGGCAGCAGCAACAGTGCCTGGTTGTCCACCTGCCTGGCACACCATGCTGCTCCGCCCCCCTGCCGGACTGTGGCCTATGTCCCTGCAGCAGTGTGGACAAAATACAAGTTTACCCAGCACACCATTTTCTCTAAGTCTGGCTCTGGGTATACTAGGTACAACATGTTGTTTAAACTCACATTAGTTAAAACATACAAGTTGGACCTGGTCAACCATGATGGGGCTGTGATGGGAATATTTCCTAACCTACCTTAAAACATACCAATATTGCCTGGTCTATCCATGGCCACAATCATTTTTGCATTCTCTCAGACCCATTCACACAGTCTCCCCTGCATCTAGCTATATACAAAATCCTCCACATATTGACCCATGCTGTACATTATTGATTTCTCAGTCACACATGTACACATCTGTCTTCATTCTGCTTTTATTTAAACTAGTCTAAAGCAAAAGCAATTTCAGTGAAATCATTAGAGCCACATTTGTGTGAAAAAGCTGTTGGTGGGAAAAGAAGGCCAATTGTTTCACACATGCGGCCCTGTGCACCCACTCTTTATCACACATGTACACTTGACTGTCTCTCAAACACTGATATGTCTGGAAAATGAAAAGGGAAAAGCAACAGAGCAAGACATTAAATTATTTTGAAATCCGCTGCAATATAAGAAAATAGTGAAAACGGGTGACCTTTCACATTCTAAAAAAAAGTTACTCTTTGGCTATTAGAGGTGTAAAATATCCCCGTACATTCATTGTCTGCAGAACATTTGTGTAAGGGGAAAAGTGTTGCCTTGAAAATGCAAAGAAAATATCAAAAATGTATCATTAAAAGTTAATTTGGGTTTGGAACAGAGAGACTATACATCTATATATATAAAATTCCTATCAGTACCACATGGTATACTTTTCTTTTGTATGACTGATAATTATCATTCAGTATTCAGTTTGATGGATGAAGTAGTAATAGAACATGAAGGTATCTGTTGTTAGAAATGATGACACCGCTGGTCTTTGCAGATGCTGTTGAGTGAAGAGATCAGAAAACATATTAGAGGTATTAATCACAATACAAAGTGAAAGCATGACACACATTTTTTATTTCTGCGGCAGTGAGCAATAGACAGTAACCTATGCCCTGCTGTACACTTCAAAGTTATATTTTTATTAAAGGATTCCTGCTAAGAATTAAACCAAGACAGCAAAGCTTAAGTGTTTTATACAGGTCGCTGGAACCCCATCTGATGCAAATATACAATGTGATCATTTCCATAGAAATTGGTACAAGCAGACTGTTAGGTAACCTGATCTAATTGTGCAGGTGCAGATTTGTTCTCTACAGTGTATTTTCTAGTAACTATATTTATTTCATTTTTCAACCACATGGACACTGGACCCTAACTACGTAGACATCCCATGTAAATGTTGCTGTTTTTAAACCAGGAGCATTTACTCTTTTAATTGGGCACATTTATTAGCCTCCCAAATTTCCCTCACTTTTATTTGATTAAATAATTAATATGGATATTTTGCTGCAGCACAGTAACTAATACTCATTAGGCATTAAGAGTTTTGATGGTGACATCATTTATACCATGACAGGTCTTGACACCCCATTAGAATTTGCAGGTGCAAATTGATCAATCGGTATGGGTAACGAGATCACATTTAGCTTGTAGGAATCTTGTCTCACTAAATTTTGTACAAGTTTGAGTGCACTGATGAAACTCTATCAATAATTAATAATAATGATATAATTTTCTACTTCTGAAACAGGTAATAGAGCTGGTAAGAGTTCTGGTCATTGTGTGAGTGTGAATCTTTATGAATAGGCAAACAGTAAGACACTGTGTTGCATGAAAGGTATTAGCCAAAATATTTTTTAAAAAAGGACAAAGACCAATTTTAAACAATATTTTATTAATAATGTTTAATAACAGTTTGTACTTTTACAGAACATTTCCTTAGCAGGTCTCAAAGTGCTTTATGCACTTGAATTAATTCAAGCTCATTATGCCTTTTTGATTGTAGTAAGAAGTATGTGGAGAATATTTTACCTGCTATTAAAACGCAGCCAGTTCTAGAGTGGGTTGCATCATTTAGTAGCTCACAGCAGCAATACAAAGCAGATTATTTATTTATATAGCACCAGTGTGCTACATGCTTTACAGATGTCTGGAATAAAAGCTCTCTGGAAGAACTTTCCGCAGGGAAGAATAGGGTATTCAGCAACATGACTGAAGCAGAAATGTAAGCAAGAAAAGTAGTTACCAGAACTGAAAGTTGTCCCTGATATTGAGACTGGTAAACCTACTCTTACAAAAAGTGAGATTTGTATTCACTGCAAGTTTCACTACATTTGTTCACATGTATATTAAAACAAATCTCACTTCAGCTTCTCAGTGTAGAAACAGTCTGTCACTCAGGTTTATATAGACACTAAGGACTGTGTCCAAAAATAGCATTGTGTAATTAACTGGATTTAGGTGGATTTTAGGTGTCTAAATTCAAAATTACAATGAGATAAAAAGACCCTGCTCAGGGGTGCTTAATGCTAGAGATGTCTAAACTTAGTAGCTACCTTCCTACTTTTCATTGGAAAATTACCTAGGGGCCTAGGACTGTCCCAGTTCTCTGTAGCTTAATGCCAATCCCCCACCTAAGTGTGACTGGAGTCCAGGATCTATGAGGAATGACATGCAAGTCCCGTTAGGAGCTTGAACTGATAGGCATGTTCAAAGCCTAGCCAATATATACTGACAGGACCAACACCCCCAAGAAATGGAGCTGTAGCTGCTTTCCAGCTGCAACAACCATTGGAGGACACGGTGGTCTCTTGAGATCTGTGTTGTTGGTCTCCCCCTTAGCCTGAAGGGATTCTAACCTGCACCTTCCAGGAGACTCCTCTAAACATTAGGCTGTTCTGAATGTGGGCTGTCTGGTAAAGCTGAGGCACTGTGCTGAAAGGAATGAGCACAAGCAAGAGGAAGTGTACCCTGTGGCTTAGTGATTAGGACAGTGATCAAAAACCTTTAAGAAGCTGTGGGCCAGAACAACCCAGCTCCCATATGATGCGGGCTGGGTGGCTTTGATGGCACATCAACGAGTGGCAGGGATTTCCCTGCACCACTGATGAGGCAGAAGCAGAGGCAGAGGCAGAGGCAGACAGCTGGGAGCTGCACCCATGCCATGGCCATTTCTCCCAGCCACCCCCGCCCCGGCTGTATGTGGGCTCAGCTACCAGCTGGTGGGGGGCTGCTTGGGTGCAGGGAGCTTCTAGCTGGGCTCATACGGTATCTGGGAGGGAGAGAGTGAAGCAAAGCAGAGTCAGTGTAGACGCAGTTTGCAGCTCCTCAGCCCTGGTGCCGTGACACATCACTGGAAGTTGACCCTCACACAGCCAGGGAAGTAGTGAGGAGGGGGAGCAGGGGGAAGGGGCTGGGAGAAGCAGCAGCAATGTGCGTGTAGGCAAAGCCCTCCAGCTCTGTGGACCAGATTCAGTGGCTCAGTGGGCTGGGTTCAGCCCACGGGCTGTTTGATGCCAAACCCATGTGTGGCAGGGCACTGTTTGTGCCTACCACTTTAAGGGCCAGAAGATAACGGCTGGCAGGTGCCTCATGAGGGCAGCCAGTTTAGATTCAGGGCTGCCCATATAAACAGGGCATTTTGCTGCGGGGAGGCCAGGCAACAACATCGCCTGGCTGC